GAGGAGGAGGAGGAGGAGGAGGAGGAGGAGGAGGAGGCGGAGGAGAGCTGCCAAGATGTCTCCTCAAGTAAAGGTGCTTGCTACCCAAGACTTCAGTTTAATTCCAGAAACCTACTCAAAGATGGAGGGAGACCGACGCCACAAAGTCCCCTCTGATTTTCACATCTCTGCCCACACACATGTTATGTACACACACAGTAATAAACAGATAAGGTTAACAATAAGAATTCTAACGCTAGTAACCTATTCTTAGTCTTAGAGGTCAAAACAGTACCAGGAAGGAAAAGCCAAGTTGTTCACATCTTTTTCTGCTTGTAAATGGATAACATGCAAGGGACGGGGGGGGTGGGGGTGGGGTTATTGTACATGTTCTTAAATGCAAACAGTCTTTTCCCTCTGTCTTTCTTTTTTAATTTATTTTATTATTTATTGTATGCGTATGTGTGTGTAGGTGCTTGAGTAGGCCAGAAGAGGACGTCAGATCTCCTGGATTGTGAGCTGCCCCCAATCCTGTGTGGATGCTGGGATCTGAGTTCCAGCCCTCATGATGCAGCAGCAAGTGCTCTTAACCACTGAGTCATCTTTCCTGTCCTGAATTTACTTCTTGTTGAGACAGGGTATTCTGTAAACCAGGCTGGCCTCAAACCCCATATATAGCTTAGGCTAGCCTTAAACTACTGATATTCCTGCCTCTGCCTCCCAAATGCTGGGATTCCAGGTATATACCATTGCATCCAACTTCCAGCTAGAGCTTTATTTATTCGTTTATTTGATACAGGGTCTCACTATGTTACCTTGGAACTTGCTGTGTAGACTAGGCTAGGCTCTAACTCACAGAAGTCACCTGCCTCAGCCTCTTGAGCGCTGGTGTTAAAGGCATGTACTACTGCCAGCTAGAAAAATTAAAAACAAACACTAAACATTATTTCTTATGTAAATATTTTGAATTATGTCTCTTCAAGATAAAACCCTTCCCTGGGGGTGTATAGCTCAGTTGGATGAGTGTCTGTATAAATCCTCAGTAACACAAAACCCCTGGTGTAGTGGGTGCTTGCCTGAATCTCAGTACTTCGGAGTTCAAGGAGAAGGGTCAGGAGTTCAAGTTCATCCTCTGCTTCCTAGTGAATTTGAGGCCAGCCTCAGCTACATGAGACCCTGTGAAGGAGGAAGAGAGCAGGAGAATTCTTTTTAGTTAGGTGTGGTGTCTCATGCCTGTAATCCCAATGCCCAAGAGGCTTGCCTTGAGTCCAAGGCCAGCCTTGGCTACATAGTAAGAACCTGTCTCAAAAATACGACAACAGGGCTGGAGAGATGGCTCAGAGGTTAAGAGCACTGCTTGCTCTTCCAAAGGTCCTGAGTTCAATTCCCAGCAACCACATGGTGGCTCACAACCATCCAGAATGAGATCTGGTGCCCTCTTCTGGCCTGCAGGCATACATGCAGACAGAACACTGTATACATAATAAATAAATAAAAAAAAAAAAAATACGACAACAAAAAAAAATCCCCCCAAAACCCATTCTTTTAAAATCACGGTACTGGGATTTCCAGCTTTCCAAGTCCTCCCACTACTCTGCAGAGGATCTTTTTCTCTGTGTGCCTGTTGCATGTATGTTCCCTCAAGTCCAATATAAATGCATTTAACTGTTAAAAATAAGTAATAAATAAAGTAAAATTAATCTCATCTAACTAATACGTTTCCCCTACTGAGATATTTACTTCACTGTATCACTTGATAAATCTCCTAAGACCGGCTTTGCTGTTTAGGTAAAGAGGGGCATGACTAGCCCAGCAGTCAGTTCTGCCCGCGGTACAGCTAGCGGAGGAGCGAGGGGCATGCAGCTGCGCAGTCCAGCAGAGGAAGGGGTGCTTCAGACCTCCGGGGTACCCTCCCTCTGACTCTCCTCCTGTGCCAAGCCTGGCTCCAGAAGTTGAGACAAAAGTCATAAAACAGCTTTTATACAACAGTCTCTGGCATCACAGAGGCGCCCTTGGCTAGCACCCTGGCAGTCAAGAGTGCTGGGAGTGAAGAAGTCCGTCGCAGTTAATGGTTAAATTAAGCCATCAAACTCCCTAATAAAGCTTCCATCTTGAACGTGTTTCAAAACTTAAAATACCCAAAGGAAAATAAAAGCTCTTCTCTTTGGGGCTGGGAAAGACCTTTAGTCCCTGGAGTCATAGGTACCCTGAGTCATGGTTTTTTTTGCTAAGCCTCTGGACGGGCAGGAACAAATCCCCAACTCTCTGAGGCTCCTAGGGCACCCTTTCTCAGCTTGGTACCTAGGTGCTGCCTGGGAAAACGGCAGGGATCCCTCTCCCAGTGTCCCAGGAAGACAGGACTCTACAGACTTGGGATTTGACTTCCGTTCCATGTTGGAATCAGAAGGAACTCGGGACTCATGCCTTGTCACCTGGCTGGGTTTGTCCCATCCATCTTGCTACACTGTGGCGAGCTGCTCATTTCCACGAAGCTCTCCAGGGTTCCAGCTGCATGTTGTAGCAGTGCTGACATGCTGAAGGCATTCTCTGCGGATGAACGTGGGAGACGTGGAGCCCCAGACTTCCTGCCCGACTGACCAAAGGCTGCCCAGAAACCAAACTTATTAGGGCTTTTAATTTACTTTTTATTATAGACGAATACAATGCAATATGATTATATCCACACCCACCTTTCCCTCCACCTCACCCCACCCCCTTACCATCCTATACATCTACCCTCTCAACTTGATGCCATCATTTTCTCTTCTTCCTCCTCGTCCTTCTTCTAGATACCGACTGAGTCCAGTTCCTGCATCTATGCAGGGTGTGGGCCATGCAATCCGGCATGGGAATCCGATCAGTAGCCACAGCCTCAAAGAATACATTAATCCGGGTTTCAAAAGACTTAAAACGACTGTTCTGAATAGAGTTGCCAACAAACCTGCTGGGAAAACAACAGACAAGGAAGGCAGCTGTGTGGCTGCTGAACGGGGCGGGAGCTGGAGTGATTCAACGCTGAGCCAAGGAAGGCCAGAGAGCAACCAGAGCTGCCAAGCCTAAGAAGCTGCAAAGGACTCTTCCCCAGAAACACCAGAGCGAGCAAGGCCTGCAGACATCTGGATGGGAGTCCATCTTGTCTTCACAGCTGGAAGCAAAGGACGCAGTTTCTGTTGGAAAGAAGGAAGGGAGGGAAGGAGCCAGGATAGTCCTAGGACAAGAAAATGAAAGCCAAATGGCTGACAAGCACAGAACATGAACCTGATCTCATTAGTGATCAGAGAAACACCTGTTAAAGGGCCATTAAGCATGAATGTGGCCCTGTGGCCCCAGCACTTAGGAGGCTGAAGCAGAAGAATTCAGAGTTTGAGGCAAGCCTGAGCTACATAGGGAGACCTATAGCAGCAATAATAATAAATAATTAATAAATAAATAAATAAATAAATAAATAAATAAATAATAAAAAGCCGAGGAGCCAGTGGGCAAAGACACTCACTGGCGAGTTTGGTGACCTGAGTTTCATCCCTGGGTCCCACAGGGTGGAAGGAGAGAACACCCTC